GAAGCTAATATCTTTTTGTCACAGGAAGTCAACCGGCTGTTTCTCTTCTCCACCCCCACAGCAACAACACTGGGTGGTAACGCCTCTTGTGGCGGTTCTGATTATTGCCTATTGTGTGGGGGGAAAACTCGCATCTTTTGAGATCTCACTTTGGCTAAAAAAAAGCACCCATTGCTGATTTTTCCAGCCGCCCCACCCGACCCCTACTGATGTCCCCCTGTGGTCTCTCCCCGGTGGTGGCATTAAACAGTGAGTTACCTCCGCCTCCAGACGGTGGAATAGGTCAGCTCCTCGGTTGCAGTCTGCACTCCTCAAAACACACACGCACTGTTTACCTGTTTGCTGTAAATGCCACGAATAGATGCGTTTCATATACAAACGGGATGGGCTGGCTCTATAAATCCCATCTGATGAATTACATTGGATGACTTCATTGGGCTTTACGTTTATAAATCCCCCACTCATTAAACTCTCATTCCCCTTGGAAATGAAGCGTTCTTTTTTATTTCTTTATTTTTTTTTAACTCCACATTGTGCTCAAGCTGTTTGCTTTCAGACTTTTTGACTGATTAGGAAAATAGTTGATCTAGTTTCATGTTGGAAATGAGATTTTACAAATGTTAGTTTATTAGGCTCGCATGAAGTTAAAATGGACACAGCCGCCCCAAGATTCAATGATGTCGGCAGCTCAAGCTGATTAATGGATGTGCTAAAATGTGAAATAAGAATGACCTCATCAAGTTTGCTTTAAGGTTTCTATACAAGGCGAGGGCACGGCTAGACAGCTTTTGTTTTATGGCGTGTTTCATACACAAGCTAACTCAATGTGTTTCACCTAGTTACAAAACACATTTGGACATTGAAAAAAAAAACGCAATAATTTAAGACATTTAAAAATGAAGTAGAGAAATAAAAAGTATTTTACTAAATTACTAATAGAACATAGAGCGCAAGTACACGATTTGGGAAAAAAATGTTCAAGAAATGCTATAAAAGACCTTAATCATAGTTATGGGCATAATTTTTAGCCTGGATTTAAAAGCATTTCCACTTCGGGCTAACTTCAATTCTGTTGGCAGCTTATTCCACTTGCTTTCAGCATAACAGCTTAAGGCTGATGCACCATGTTTGCTTTGAACTCTGAGCTACACTACCTCAGAACCATCTTAGGTTTATAGTCTCGGAAAATTTCCATTCATCCATCCATATTCTACCGCTTATCCCGGGGTCGGGTCGTGGTGGCAGCAGCTTTAGCAGGGAAGCCTAGACTTCCCTCTCCCCAGCCACTTCTTGTAGCTCTTCCAGGGGGATCCCGAGGCATTCCCAGGCTAGCTGGGTGACATAGTCTCTCCAGCGTGTCCTGAGTACTGCCGGTGGGACATGCCCAGAACACCTCACCAGGGAGGTGTTCAGGAGGCATCCTAATCAGATGCCCGAGCCACGTCATCTGGCTCCTCTCGACGTGGAGGAGAAGCGGCTCGACTCTGAGCCCCCCCCAGATGACCGAGCTTCTCACCTTATCTCGGAAAATTTCAGAAGCATATTTTTTAAAGTCTATTTTCCATCTAACTGAGACACAGTGGAAAGTCTTGAGGAGTGGAGTAATGATCCAGTCTCTTAGTTTTGACAGTATACAACTCTGAAATAATGCTAGCATGAACATAAGGCGGTGCTGCAATTATAGACCACTAAATTTCTCATATCATCAGCCTAAAGGCATAGTCGCCAAGTAGTTTATTTGAGAGTCCAAACTGAGCCATCATAAAATCTTTATGAACTGGACTGGCCATATTTTATTTCATCAGTCAAGTATAAAATGTTTCAGCCACTAATTTCACAAAACCCCTCCCACACAATTTCAACACTCAACTTTTTTGATCAGAAGTGACAAGCATATGACGAGAATAGCTAGCGGCTAGTGCAAAAAAGCTCACATGTTTATTCAGTGCTCTTCTTGTCAAACAGTGTAAACAGATGGACTCAAATGCTTGATACCAGTCGGAGAAAAAGTCAGAAAGTCGGTGCGACTGACAGTCCTATGAAGCATACAAAATGCAAACTCGTCGCTTTCCAAAGTGAGTTGCCGGCACCTGCTGACCAAATAATTCTCATGCACACACACGCGAGTCGAAAACCTGCGGGCGTCCACATGCTTCTTTGTGGGCGTCTATAATAGAGAAATGCATTTATCACAGCAAAGCAAATCCTGCATCCCCCGACAGTCTTAACACTCACATTTGTGATGACGGGACGACAACGGAGGCGGAATGCACGAGTTGCAGAAAAGAAGTAAAGGACTTCAGGAAACATGAAGGATAGGGGGCAAAGGGAAAAGAATGCACATTGTCACTTGTGACCCTTGTAGCACTTTTGGAAAAGATTTCTAGTATTACCATTGGCCAGCTTTCAAAGAGACATATTGTATTCCTTAAAAAAGTGACCCTCAATTAAAAAAATAAATAAAAATGAGGGTACGCACAATTTGGTGACAGAAAGTAGACTGGACATTAGACCAGGTGAAAGCAGGTCAAAGTTGTGGCGCAGGTGGCGGAATGCAACTTTGGTGGATTTCATCCAGGTGCCGACCGACAGATTCTGCGCTCATGTTATTGTATTTCATTCATAAATATGACATCAACATGTATCAGACTCTCTGAATCAATGTATATATATCTATTCAATAAATGCATTCTTTTTATTCTTATCTTTAATATCTTTTTATAAGCACCCGTGTACTGCAGGTGGGCTGTCACACTCAGACACATGATCAGCGTCATCTGAATGTCTCTTCTTCCAGTACCTTACAAATCTCGTGTCAAACTCAAGGCCCGGGGGCCAGATCTGGCCCGCCACATCATTTTATGTGGTCCGCGAAAGCAGCTCAAAGATGTCAACTTCCATGATCCTTTCTAAAATGTCTACCAAAATCTTAAATTCTCATATGTAATAAATAAGAGATATATTCTAAGCATTTTCTTGTTACCAAACCCCTCATGACAGTAACTTAAACAATAGCTGAATCAACACTTATTCTTGACTTCTTCATATGGTTTCAGTCATAACGGCCCTCCAAGTGAAACGCTAACTAAAATGTGGCCTGCGCCAAAAATGAGTTTGACACCCCTGTTAAAAAGAAATTTGCACTTGCCGATCAAGTTGAGTATGCTTCCATCATGCTGACCGCGCACCTCACTGGCATTGAATTTAATAGGGAATGAAGGGAGCCGCTTTGATTGGCCGGGAAATCAAGCCAAGACCCCTTCCTGGATGTAATCAGGACTAATAGCTGCAATTGTAGCCCATCAAATATGCTATTATATATTTACAAGGCCCGCGCTTTTGTTGTTGATCAGATCGAGCAGAGAAGCTTGCTCTTGAGGGCACGCAGTAATCAAAATGGGTCAGCGCCAAGTGTAGGCAAATCATTGAGTTCACCCGGGAGAGGTAAATGTCAGCTGAACTTTTTGTTTTTTGAGAGTCCACCTTTCGAAGAAGCTAGCTTCCTCGCTAAAAAAAAAAAAAAGTGCTGTGCTGACATTTCTAGGGCAGCCCTATATGTGTGTGTGTGTGTGTGTGTGTGGGTGTGGGTGTGGGTGTCTGGAAGCGTGGGTTTGTATCCTTTTGTGCTCATTTCTATACCTCACTGCAATGCACTCAAACACAAATAGAAAAGCAATTTAGCGAAATAAAGCCTATTCCCAGGGGGAATTTCGGTTAGTCAATCCCTGTTTTTTTTTTTCGCAGTAAAACAAAGTTAAACCTATCAAAACACACTTTTTAAAATACATTGTCAATGTATTTGAACATAAAACATCTAATAGCAAGCATAAAATGTATAAAAATTCCTGTACGCATTGTAGTGGATGTGGATGCATGTTCCCTCAACCATATTGTGACCTGATCACATGATAAGCTGTCCACTGTAGTAACTGCTATCCCTGAAAGGGTTAAAGAGGCAGGATCTTTGAACTGGTGTGTGATGTCAGCAAGTCTGCGTATGAGTGTCTGGGTGAGAGCGGTGGTTGACAGCAGCTTGTGTGAGAGTGTGCTCTGAGTGTGTTTGTGTTTTACTGTCCTTGGATTTATTATTGTATTTGTTTGAATAATCCCGTTGGTCAGAACAGCGGTGGGGTGAGGAGCAGTTTGTGGGTGGGGGTGGTCTCCAAGGGCCCACTTCATAATGCAGATGTGCTTCTTCTATACTGAGACTGTCGTGTGCAAATAAGATCATCCCATTTAAAAGGGAAAGAATGAAGCTGCTTTCTAATTGGCAGGGATATAGACTGTGTTGGCTGTGACCACTCCCACAGCGACGCAGCCCCTCACTCTTGAAATTACGCTAATCAGCCTTTGCGCTGGATTTACATCGATGACGAGCAATATAGAGCCCGTTGGGTATTTAACCCTTTCATACACCCTGTAACCTGATTACATAAGGTGTCCACTGTAGTAACCGCTGTCCCTGAAAAGGGTTAAAACACCTGCCATATAACTTTGCCTTCCACTTGGTTCATGCTGTCGACAGACTATTGATTCACATCAATAATAGTGTTAAATAAGACATATATTCCTTATCCTCTGCAAAAAACGACTCTTATTACTGCAGCTTACTGAGGCAGTTACAGCAGTTGTAAAAGTCTCCTTCATTGTATCTATGACTATTTTTATTACCGCATTGATTGATGATCGTGACGGGGGGGAAAACAGATTCCTTGACCCTGTTTACCTTCCACTGTTGTATGTGTGACTGTTGCTATGTCATATGGTTAGCTAGCACCGGTGAACACGTAAATTAGCGTGTACTCGAGGTAGTAAAAACACCTCAAGCATTGAGTTAATTTATTTATTTAAATCAAGGTACCCGAATTACTCCAGCACTCGTTTCAGCCCAAATTAGAATTCATCCCTGAATGTTCTTCTGCACCCCTTACTCGATTAAACTTGCAAAATGCCATGAAACAAGTCTGCATGTGCTGTAAACTCATCATTTTACCTTTTCCTTTTTTTTTTTTTTGCAAACATTTATTGTGTTTCTTCCTCTTGTGAACTTGCCAAGATGAGGCGCATTTCGGCACATTAACTGTCATTAAAAGTGGATTGCGTATGCCCATTAATTAGTCAGCCATACAGTAATTGGCATGCATTTTGATTGCCGCGATTAACTGTAGTTTATCTTTCATGATTATCAGACTTTAATTAGCCGACACAACAATCTCTTTCTCACACACACACACACACACACACACACACACACACACACACACACACACACACACACAGAAAAAAGTAGAGTAATAAGAGTGCTGTCGGACTATCACTAATTGCATTCTCAGGCATAAGTGTATTATTTCAACGGTGTGGTTTGTGGGTGCATAATCGTTGCAGTTCTCCAACAGCGGCACCAATTTCTTCAAGTTCGGAGGGAAGGACCGAGCCGCAATGCTGAAACTCTCCACTTTAATCTCCTCCATCCTCTTAATTGCTTGGCTCTCATCTCCTGCTGCTGTCTCAGGTCTGCCGACGCCATTTAGGCAAAAAAAAAAAAAAAAAAGGGCTTCCGTCATTGTCAGGCGGCGGGATGACGACTTTTAATGAGAAGCGACGGTCATGAAAAGGGGAGGGGTGTGTGTGTGTGTGTGTGTGTGTGTGTGTGTGTGTGGCGGGCTGGTGGGGGAGGGGGGGGGGGGGGGTCGCACAGGCTGCTGTTATGTAATTGCATCATTAGACGTGTTTTGGCACAGAGACGAGAGTTGGTGTTGTTTTAAACCGCTGCTTGTCTTTTTTTCCCATCGCTCAATAAAAAGGGTCATTTTTGGTTGTTGTCTTTGAATACGTAAGCGCTTGCTTCGCCCTTTCTAAAACTGTAATGATGTTGTCCCTTTGCCCTCATACATATTAAAAAAATAAAAGCAGGAACAGGTCTCCAGTTTGAACTTACCAATCGCAAATCACATGATATTACCGTTTTTTTCTTTGGATCTTTGATTTCAAGCCTTCATTTTCCCATACCTTTGGTCGAGGTTCACCGGTGGCAAGGTCGAAAAAAGCATTGGCCACTAAGCGCATTGAGTCACATCGCCCCTGTTGAGGACTTGCCACATCTGTCATGAAATTGTGGATCCAGCCACATATCAAGTCGTCCTTAATCAGCACTGATTCAACCCTGCCATAAATCATATTACTTCATTTGAGCTTAGGTAATTTTTTTTTCATAAATATGACGTACCGTGAGTTGATGGCCTCCCAGTTTTAGCATTTTCTGGCCTCCACGACTTGACCCAAGTCTCCTGACCTCAGAACCCTACTGGGTTTATTTTCCATCTCCTCAGAACCTAAACCGGTGAATGATTTGTCGAGCTGTAGCATCGTTTTGAAATGGTACAAGAGGTCTGGGTGGCGGTAGTTTCGGAGAGGAGACGATAACAAGTCTCAAACTGCCATGCATGTCAACAGTTGCCACGAGGCGAAAGAACGAACAAGAAGTTGTGTCATGTCGCAGCTCAAATGGCTGTCAGTGTGACGCAAACCCTCGGCTTTCATTCTCTGACTATTATCCCGTGTTGTGTCAAATGTGGCACGCTTGCACGACCGCAAGAAGCCACGCAGGATATTTCGGAAGGTCAACTAATTTTATGATGAACAGTATAGTGGTGAAATTTGTTCCTTGTTGACATTTTTGGAACATGGGCAGCGGCGGGCCCGGGGAGCTAAAGTGAGCCTCTGGTAATCTAAGTGACAAACTGCAGCTGATTTACACATGACCTCGTTTGGCTGCGGCTGATATTTAACTTACTGGACTGGAAGCGGAGCACCAAAGCTTTCGTGCGTTCTTGTTTTATTTTTTCGGGGGGATGTGGGAGGAAGCTGGAGAAAAACTAGGCAGGCACGAGGAGAACGTGAAAGGTTTGCAAACCCAGTAGCAAGGCATCTTTGGTATAAACATTTCTCAAATTTGTCCGGTTAGGCATCGAGAGACACATGATGCTAATGCGCTAACACACGCTATAAAACGCTGCGCAGCCGTGACAGTAATCAGGGCGAAAGACAGATGGTGGGAAAGAGGATTTTTTTTTTTTCTCCCCCGACGTGAGTAATGGCAACATGCGAAACATAATCTCCCGCAGTCGCCGGGGCCAAATCTATCAATGACATGAAGGCATATCAAAAAGGGAAGATTTGTAAAGGGACTCCATCCGTGTGTAAGATGGCGCATACGTAACCTGGTTGTGAAACGCGTATTGTTTCTCTCGGGGTGAGTCACGGACTCCGGAGTGGTCCTTGACAGATAATACCCGACTATTTACCACCTCCACTACACAATGTACTGAATGAAAGCGCTTTGCGCTCAAATGCTAATGCCAACATCTGTCCTTTTGCGACATGCGAGCGGATCAAAGCATCTGCCGGACGCGTGACGCCATTCGGGCGACCTGCGATTGCGAAAAAGGGCCCACCGCTTTTGTGTGTATGTGTGAGTGTGCGTGCACGTGTGTGCGCGCGCGATGATGCCTCGCTGATTCAGAAGATGACTATCAGAGATGGAGGAGTAGTGGTGCGACGGGTGTGAGTGAGTCATAATCGCTCGGTCAGAAGGCGATCAGATACGATAACGCGTTGATGTGTGTTGCAGAAATCCTCCCGGTGGATAAACACGGGGCAAATTCGGGTTTCACCACTCCACTCGTGTTAACTGACAAAAAGTCACTTGAAAGGAGGCGTATTTTGACTTAAAAACAGATCGCAGATGTCTTAAGCCCCCAAATTGCCAGACCAGTCTTTCAAGATCCAAAGAATATTTAGTTTTGACCCACCAAAAGAAAGTGTAGACTTGTAGCGGTAGAACATGAGTTGGTTTCGCCAAAGAGCGGCACAAATGAGGCTTTTTTGAAAAGAAGGGTCAAGCTGAGCAGTGATTTTTTTTTTAATGCATATATACCGTATTTTCCACACCAAAAGGCACACTGGATTATGAGAGGCACCTTCAATGAATGGCCTATTTTGTAAATTTTTTTCCATATATTGGACGCACCGCATTATAAGACGCAATCTACAATGCATCCACTAGATGGAGCTACGCTCAAGGAAATGCCAACAGAACGATCAGATGTCCGTAAAACATATTTAATAAAGCGGCGACACAGTTCACTTAACCAACAGCAAGTTATAACATTGACTCGTTAACGTTGAACTCTCTTGCCGCTGCTCTATTTCCGTGTTCAGCTGCGTGTTGAACTCTGCGTTGTAAGCATGTCTTGCGCAAGGAGCCATTTTGGGGTCGAAATATTACCGTAATGACCAGACACAAGGCGCATCACATTTTAAGGCGCACTGTTAGCTTTTAAGAAAATGGAAGGCTTTTAGGTGCGCCTTTTAGTGCGGAAAATATATATTTATTTGCTTTTGTGACACCATAAACTTGAATACAAGAAAAACAAGACCGAGAAAGGGCTTTTGTGTCCAAGTAATCATTTCTTTACATGTACATAAGCAAGCATTGCAACGTGAGCGACGTTGAATCGCTGTACAGCTCGTTCGCCATTCACTCCATGAACTGCGTCATCTTTTCATATCCCAAATACCGCCACAGATACTGTTGATCACACAATCAGAAAGCGAGTGACACAAGACATAGACGGGAGCGACGGACGAGCCAATACGTCGCTCTTGAAAAGCATTGACAACTTACGTCTGTGTCGGGACCTTTGTCAGCTCCGGGACAGGAGAAGGTTACAAACTCATGGCAGCGTTTGTGAACTACAAAACAGCACACTGGAAAACAAAAGCAAGAGAGAGATTTGCAAGTCAAAAACAGGAAAGTAAGGTGTCGAGACACACGTACAGAAAATGAGGTCAAATTTCTTCTGTCACATTTTTAGCTGGGCAACCAATCCTCTGCTAATACTGAAAATGAGTTGAGATGCTTCATACCCATACCCAAAAATAGTGCTTGGGTGCAATCTTGAGGCATCTTGGTAGCAGGGAACTATATTGGAGTTAGTTGAGGGGCCTCCTTTCGACAAAAGTGATACTCTGGCGCCATCTTGTGGTATTTTGGTACCACTGCACAATGTTGAAGTGAGCTGAAGCGCTTCATTTGGTTGCTTTGGTGCCACCCTGTGGCATTTTGTTGTCAAGGTACGATGTTGAATTAAGTTGAGGAGCTTCATTTTGACAATCGTGTTGCTTTGGCACCGCCTTGGTGCCAAGGAACTACAGTAAGTTGGAGTACAGTGCCTTTATTTGGACAAAAGTTGGGCTTTGGTGACATGTTGTTGCCAAATAACTATATTGAAGTAAATTGAGGTGCTTAATTTAGACGACCGGATTGCTTTGGCACCATCTTGGTGCCAAGGAACTACAGTATGCTGAAGTGAGTACAGTAACTTTATTTGGACAAAATTTGGGCTTTGGCGACATGTTGCCAAATAACTATATTGAAGTAAATTGAGCTTAATTTAGACAACCGGATTAATGTCGAGTAGCTTTATTCAGACGAAAGTATTCTTTTGGTGACATGCTGGTGCCAATGAACTATGCTGAAGTGGGTAGCGGCACTTCCTTTAGACAATAGTAGTATGCCACATACAAAAGCAGGAGGAAGACACGTTTTCTTTGTCGCGCCAGAGGCTCACATTTTTAAAAAGCGGTTGCAATGCTGAAAATATGTATGCGTGTAAGCCCACTTCACTCGTAAACAAGGCACAATCAACAAAACCATTCTGCTTGCTTGCAAGGCCGACAAGTTTGCGGAAAGGAAAGCCAATCAAGCTCGCGCACGCACAAACGCCCACACGCTCAATCCCACACACAGAATGTCACCGGCGTCACTGATGGAGGCTGCTGCAGCCGTCGGCTAGTTCCAAGACGCCGTGGGGGCATGGCACACATGACACCTGACGTCATTCGTCTTTTTTTTGGGGGGGGGGCACCCATGTACATCTGTGACAACAACACAACACTCCCTCTGTCTACTTTTGTTTGGAATGCCCCCCCCCCCCCACACACACACACACACACACTTGTCCCCCTTCCCACACAATCTGTCAGCTTCGGCTTGTGTCCAGATGCAAGAGAGCTAGCCGGTCATGTGCGCTGTCGTGCAAAATCAAGTTTGCCACTCTTTTCGCTCCATTGAGTCGTCCAGTAAACAGCAGCAACTTTTAGTGATAACTCTCTTATAATGAGCACTTTCAGGAGTAATGAATGTTTGCACAAGGTTGGTTCGGAGAACCGAATACTCTCCGGGAGGTGAATTTCCCCTCGGAGTGGAGGAGCAGCGAACAAATTAATCTCTTTCACTAATAAAGAGGAAATGTGAGGGAGAGAGCGGAGGGGATAAACAACTCAGCAAAATAGTTAGCCTCGCACTTGTCATTTTGATGATAAACCGCCGCCACCAAAATAAAATGTAGATGCAAGCTGGATTTAGATGACACACAACTGGAGCAAACCAGCTTGCCGACAATAAAGAGGACACAAGGCCGCCAAGATAACTTCCATTTTGGATGAAGTGTGCCTATTGGGTATAGAAGCCCCAACACTGACAAATCTGGCCACAAACTTTGCAAAGTCAGCTGATTCTACGAGGTAATATTTCTCCATTGTGAGACAAATACCGTATTGGCCCGAATATAAGACAGTGTTTTTTGCATTGAAATAAGACTGAAAAGGTGGAGTCGTCTTATATTCAGGGTCTAGACATTATACCCATTCGCGACGCTACATGGTGCCAGATATCATTGAAGCGAATACTGAACTTGACTCCCCAGGCCAAAGTGAACCCCTGTCACGAAGAATAAAAATAAAAATAGCGGTAGCACGAAGAAGAAAAATAAAAAATTGCAGGAAGAAAGAAAAGAGAAGAAAATAATAGAAGAGAGAACAGAAAATGGAGAAACGTATCGACAATCTGGAGAAAAGTGGGTCGAAGATCGGCCAGGTTAACCGGCAGCTGAGGAGAAGTTATGATGTCATTTACATTTCAAAAACCAGAAGCCATTCATTTACGAATGTGATTGCACTTTAGTTTACATATTTAAATGTTCAAATATTAAGATTTGAATGAGGCAAAATAACATGCTTTTTCTGTAAAATATATTGTTATAATCATTTGTTTCAGATGTACTGTAATTATTTTCTGTATAAAAATTAATTTTGTGTTCAAAAAGTCTTTCTTCAAACGAGTCTTGAAAAAGAGGGGGTCATCTTATAATCAGGGCCGTCTTATATTCGGGCCAATATGGTAAATGTTTTCTTATCTCAAGAAGAAGAAAAAAGTGATATCACAAATGTGCACAATTGCTTGTATAATCACCGATTGTCCAACGAATCGATTAACCAGCTCAACATAGACTACATTCAGTGCAATGGGAAATTGATGTCATATACCATATTTTCCACACTAAAAGGCGCACTAAAAGCCTTCCATTTTCTTAAACGCTCACAGCGCACCTTAAAATCCAATGCGCCTTGTGTATGGTCATTACGGTAATATTTCAACCCCAAAATGGCTCCTTGCTCGAGACATGCTGACAACGCAGAGTTCAAACTTAAGGCGATCGGTTAGGCAGTTGAACGCGGAAAGAGAGCAGCGGCAAGCGAGTTCAACGTGAACGAGTCAATGTTATAACTTGCTGTTGGTTAAGTGAACTGTGTCGCTGCTTTATTAAATACGTTTTATTGACATCTGATCGTTCTGTTGGTGTTTCCTTGAGCATAGCTCCATCTAGTGGAGGCATTGTAGATCGTGTCTCATAATGCGGTGCGCCCAATGTATGAAAACAATTACAAAATAGGCCATTCATTGAAGGTGCGCCTTTTAATGTGGAAAATACGGTGTATATATATATATATATTTACATTTGTTATTGTAAAGTGTTTTGTTATTGTAAAGTGTTTTGTTATTGTAAAGTGTTTTGTTATTGTAAAGTGTTTTGTTATTTATATATATAAAACATTTCTAAGCATTTCTAATAGGTACAATAGCATTGGTATGAATAACGGTCTCGTCTCCTCCTTGCTTATTTTATTGTGTCTTCACATTTTGCTTTCAGCTTTTCAGAGTCACAATCATCATTTCAGCTATTTATCGCCCAGCACAAATGTTATGGCGACCCTTGTGATCCACATGCTACCACCAAATGTGATTTCTGGACTCCTTAAGGCTCACGACAGATGGAAGATGGTTGACTGTATGAGCACACTCCCACAAGCAGCCCTTTTAATTCTTCCATTGAGGCCAAAATAAGGGGGAAAAAGAGAGAAGAAAACCAGTTCACAACCTCATTTAATCCTTGAGAAAAAGTAAGGTAATTTTTTTCCCCCTCTTCTTCCGGGAAGGCTTTACAGGTCTCCACCGTCAACGAAATTAAGAAAGCATTTGCATTTGGGAGCAAAGCAGAGGAGCATGAATCATCCCGGCTTTTGTCACAGCGATTAAATCGCATTGAGGATTTATTGTGGTAGATCAGGTTTCTTCTTCTGCTCCCTGCCGTCATACAATATAGGAATCGAGGTCTCTGATGACGTCCACATTTCCACCTCGCCATCAATCATTTGGTCCTTAAAACGCACACGGAATACACGCACTCCTCACATTCTCAGTTTTGATACTCTTTGATCTCATTATGGGTGACAATTAACTGGCAAATGTTGCAAAAGAAAAATCAATGAACCTTGACTTCAGCAGTAGTTGGATGTGACATTGGGGTTGCTCATTTGCCAAAGAACACTTTTACTCGACAACTATCAGCCATAAGAAAAAACTATGGTTGCTTGCTTCCAGTCCAAATTGGCTTGTGGCAAACCTGGGTGACATCACACACGCTATGATTACGAGATTTCAAATGCAGTAAAGGTCAAAGACCTTTACTGTATATTGAGGGTTGTGTGTCCCAAAGATCATATGAGCAAAGTGTTTTGGGGCCTTATGCCACTGGCAGGGTCACTCATGGCAAACTGGTCCTTGGTGAGTTACCAGACCAAGAACAACTCCGAGACCTCCTATGGTGCACAAGAACTTTGGAAGACGTTTTCCCCACGACCCAGATGTGGGTCACGAGGTCCCACTCGGGAGCAGGCCTGGGAGTGAGGCTCATTGGCGTCCGCCTGGACCCGTGGGGCCTTGGCCGGCAACAGCCCGAAGAGGCAACATGAGTCCCCCTTTCCATGGGCTCACCACCTGTGGGAGGGGCCAAAGGGGTCGGGTGGAGAGTGACCTTGGCTACAGAAGCTGGCTCGAGGGATATGGAAGGTCACCTCTCTGGCAGGTCAGGAGCCTGAGCTGGTGTTTGAGGTTGAAAAGTCCCACCTAGATATAATCAGGCTGTCTCAGAGTATGTCTGCTGCTTCTCCGCATCGAGACGAGCCTGATGTGGTAGATCGGGCATTTGGTGATGATGCCTCCTGGTGAGGTGTCCCACCTGGAGGAAGACTCGGGGATGTCCCACAACACGTTCTCTCGGCTGGACTGGGGACACCTTGGGATTTCCCTGGAAGAGCTGGACGAAGTTTCTGGGGAAAGGATAGTCTAGGCTTCACTGCTAAAACTGCTGCCGTTGCGGAATGACCTCAGATAAGCAGAAGAAAACGGACGGATGGATGGATGTTTTAAATGCAGCACCATGCTCCAGCTGTGGTTGTTGTTCAAGTCCTCTAGAAATAAAGTTGAATTGAGCGGATTCAAAAAAATAACGTCTCTAATATGTCTCCTTCAATGTTCACAACAGACGGAATATCCGATTTACTCCAAAACAGTTTCCACTGGCACT